TTCAATGTATTCTGCTTGTCTTTGCTAATAAACATTTTTGTGGACATGCGTGGTTTTTATGAAATCAACCCATATATCTCATTTCAACCTTGTAAAAGATGTTGGGCTTCAATATTTCAAATATTTAATTTTATTTTCCTTGGTCGGTGCAAAAGTTAAGACATTTAAGTTGTTTACAGGCAATTGCAAATAAACAGAGAGATAAATCAAAGCTACCCTAACTTCAGATCTGAAGGGGAGTGGTGGTAGATTAAAAAAAACATGATAAATCTATAAATACTGTACTGGAACTCAAAGTATATCTCTACATCTGTATTATCTGTAACGTAAGATTCATCCAATTATAATGTGAGAGGTCACATAATTCATAATTAAACCTTAATATAATTGAAGAAAAAACAACAGTACTCTTGTTCTTCAAATGAAAAAGAATTTTCAATAACCAATTCGAGCAAAATATAAGCATAATGATATTTTTTGAGTAGTTCTGAATCCAAAAGAAAGAAAACCTAAAAGATTTATGAATGTATATACACATGTATATCCTTATAATGTAAATGATTGTTCATTTTGGTTGTTGGGAATATTAAAAATATTCAAAACTGACATACGATTTTGAAGAATTTCCTCCTTAGAAAGGGAGCTATGAGTATAAGTTGGATTACCACTTGTAGAATTAAATCCTAGTTCCTCTAAAATACAATTTATATAATGAGCCTTACAAACAAATACAATGTTGTTACCTGCTTTGTCAGCAGGGACCAGTACATACTGCTCGTGTAATCTATCTAATTTTTTTTCACTTCTGAATTATTGAATACAGACGGATGGATGGTTTTCATACTGCCCCTCAATCGTTTAATGCGAGATTTTAACGTATATATGATATATTTAATCCATTGTTACAAAGTGTCAAGGTCTTCTTTTTCATGTCTGACCCTGTAAGACCAATGCCCATGACTACGCTTACGTCACTATGTATGGTTAATCAGTCCCATCACATTAACATTGTTACACTGTGGACTGGAACGATTCCCAACCAGGAATGGGGTAATGGTAATGTGTAATGGTAATTGACAGTAATTAATTACAAATTACGATGTAATTGAAAGTAATGTATAATTGGCCCAATTTTCAATTACCTGTAATTGTAATTTAATTAAAAACTTTTGAGAAAAGCATGTAGTTCACAATTACTTTTCAATTACATTCAATTACACTGGGCGTAATAAAAGAGAAATAGCCCCCCATTCCACCCCCCACCCCCTCTTTTTCAAATCCCATACACTTTATTCAAGAAAGGATAACTGATTCTTAGGACAAAATGTTCTATAATAATTTTTTTTTAAATTACATATTTACTTTATTTGGTGAATTGCTGTTTCCTCTTTAAAATGCATTTTCTTCAAAACTTTTTTAAATTTTATTTATCTCCTTGTTATTAATTTACAAATAAAATTCATAATTTCGATTAACTTGTTTACAAATTGACACTTAAAATATCTAGTCTAATGGCTTCTAATCCTTTGTTTGCCATACCTACAGCTTGTGTTGAAGTGATTAACAGGTGCTAATTAGTGTCCTAGGGTCATGTACATATTGACACTGAACTTAAATAGAGATTTTACACTCATTTTGACTTTACCTAATGGTAGTTTTGTCCTCGCACATTGACTATGACTTCCCACAAATCTTTTTTTTTTTGATATATAACACTAATTTTTCTATTTTAATAAAAAAAAATGTGGGAATTAAGACAGTAGTTTGACACACAATATGTCAAATACTATAACATTTTGAGATGTATGCTTAGGATGATGAAAAAAGCAGGAAACAAGGCAAAACGCATCCATTGTTTTGCATAAATATATCAGAGAGCTTAAAAACGGACTCATGAATTAAGGTAAAACAGCATCCAGGTTCTGTAAGAGGACCGTGTCCCAGTTGAAAATTGGCTCTTTTTTCCTTAAAATCCAGCTAACAATTCCCAACTGATGACCAAATTCAATTTTGTGATTCTGTTTATATATAGAAATTACATATTTTGAAATTTTAATCATTTTTAAAGATATATATCATGTGTATTTTGGGAACAAGTCCAACTCTTTAATCAACAAATAGATATAAGTCAACAACATTTCCTAATTTTGCCACTTCTTGGATGAAAAATTCACAATTAAAAGGGTACAGGACCCTGTACCAAAAAGGGTCAATTAAGCCCTGGAACTTGCTATTAGTCAGTATTTATGTATTCCTGTCACAAATGCCCCAGTGTAAAATACCAATGTGGCAGAAAAATCTTTAAACCTGATAGATAGGGGACACAATATTTAAAATATAGTTAGGGGACACAATATTTAAAATTTTCATTAACATCTAAACAATATTTACTTAATGTAAAAAATAGTAACTGAATCTATATGAATATAAATGAACGTTCATGACTATTTATCATTGTTTATTTTTATATGTTTTTTCTTAATGTAATTTGTAATTTAATTAATTGCATTCGCAAAGTAATTGTAATTTAATTAATTACATTTCAAAATCCTTGTAATGGTAATGGTAATTTAATTGAAGGTTTTGGGCAAGTAATTGTTATTTAATTAATTACTTTCCTATGTAATTGACCCCATCCCTGTTCCCAACACTATCGACATTGTCTTTGCATCCATAGGGAAAGGCTCTGCCTAGTTTTCTTATCCAATATTCTTCTCATTGTCTACGAAAAGGTTTACTCAGTGATGGACTGTTTGTATGATGGTAAATCTTTTATGTTACCATAGTTAACATAAGTTAACTTTAGTACCTTTCGCAAGTGTAAGTATAATTTATGTACAGATGGACAAGCGGTCAACTTCATAATGATGTAAGCATACATGCAGTAAGGATTCCATCTTAATTGTAGAATGAACAGCTTTTAGTAGGAGTAAATTTAAGTAAATTCGAGAATGGTAAGGAATCAGTCTAAATGATATGTGTACACTTAAAAGTCAAAGCATTATCTCTTGTCCCTAATTCCTCTTGAATTCTTCAGATTTTTTTTTTAATTCCTGTGTATAACATATGTGTTTTATGTGTTTTATGGGGGTGTTACAAGAAAGAGGTTCGATAGAATGACGGCTTAAGTTGAAAGTACGGTCTTTGAAGCCCTACGAATTTTCTCAATAGTGCAATAAAAGTCCCAATTTCTGTTGAGGAATCTGATGATAAAATATTACTTTTTAAATTACTTTTAGCAGACCTATATTTATATTCATATGAAGCAAAATTTATAAAAACTTATACACGAAAAGAAGAAACCACTTGCTCTGGCCTTCAATTCGAAATTTAGATATATCAATGACGTATTATCAATACCAATAGTAACTTCCATTCATATGTCGACTCGATATATCCCAGCGACCTTGAAATAAAAGATACAACAGAGTCTGAAACACCTGTTTCATATTTAGATATTTTACTAGAAAAAAACGCTAATGGTAACCTAACAACAAAACTTAATGATAAACGTGATTACTTCAGTTTTTCTAATACTGAATGTTAGGCCATTATTTAAACACTGAAATTTCTGTTTTCTGTTTACCCGATCATTAAAAGGAGCACACGGCGGGTGTGACCGGTCGACAAGGGATGCTTACGCCTCCATGGCACCTGATCCCGCCTCTGATGTTTTTGGAGGTCTGTTTGCTCTGCTCCCGATTTTCATTGTTTGAATGAACTATGACCTTGAAAACTGTCTCAAAATTTCATCGACAACTTTCCTTATTCATGTAGTGATAACCCTTATCACCTGCGTATAAGGTTTATATCTCCCAGTTAATTCGATACGCAAGAGAATGCTCCACGTACGATAAATTTCTAAAACGAGTTGATGAAACAAGGATATCGACAGTTTCGTCTAAAGTCATCATTTCGCAAATTCTATGGTCGATACAATTACTTGTCAGCATCAACAAATCTAACATTTTGTCAAACGCTGACTGAAGTTTTCCATACTAATTGTTAAGCCAATATTTAAACTCTGAATTGTCTACGGATTTTTTTCCCGTTTGTCCAATTATGACTATAAGCACAAGGCGGGTGTGACCAGGGGATGCTTACTCCTCAATGGTACTAGATCCCAACTCTGCTATTTTTTAGAGGTCCGTTTTTGCTCTGCTCCCGATTTGTATTGTTTCAATGGACTTTTGAGCTTGATTACTGTTTTTTTATCTCTACATTTCATTTTTACGTTTCTATTGTATTTATTTTATATTAACGTGCAGCACAAAGTTTATCCCTGTAATTTCATCACCCTCACATGACGAAGAGATTAATGTCCAAACAAAGTTTATTTTGAAGAACCTGTTACAGATTAAATGGCTTTGATTTTGATCAAGTTTTATTTGTGGTCAAAATTCTACCCAGTAGTGTAAGGTTACAACTTTTTAAGCAGTCACACTTTTGGGGAAACAAGATATACAAATTAAACATTAATGAACTGTTTATAAAACTGTTGAAAACATGTACATTAAGGACGGACAGATGATACAAACTTTTGTAAAAAAAAAAAAAAAAAAAAAAAAAAAAATCTCGAAAATAACAACTAAGGTCATGTTTATATATTAAGTAAAATTAATCAATTTAACCGCATAGATTTTGATTTTTCATTCAAATTTTAACTATATGGATTTAAAGTGACAACAAATTATATAGATTATTAAGGATGGTTTACAGAAAGGTAGAATATTGAACATCGTAGAAAGTTTACAATTTCTTAATATTTTAAAAATTCATTATTTGCATCATTTACAACCAAAATAGACCCAAAAATATATACTAATCATGGCATCCTTTTTTTAATTATCTGTCCTTAAGTTTAAAACCATTGCAGGAAATTTGATATTTACATCTGTTAGGATGCAAGTATTGTTGATGGCCAGTTCTTAACTGAGAGGTTTTTCCTAATCAATCTGAATTTGTAAAGAAATCTTAATAAGAAAGTCAATTTGTTGCAGGGGCTATGTTGATGGCGATATATTTTAAGGATCTCAGTGACGATGAGACAAATTGCCTTACAAAGGCAATGAGGGATTCAGGAGACGTGCTGGGTCCCTGGCCAGTGGAGTGGGAGGGGAAAATAGTAGATAAGCACAGCACAGGTGGCGTGGGTGACAAGATCAGCCTCATTTTGGCACCAGCTCTAGCTGCGTGTGGAATGAAGGTAAAGATAATGAAAATGTTTGCAAGAAAAATAAAATCATTACTGGCGTCAAAGAATTCCTGTTATGCTAGCTTGAGTAATTTTGTATACCTTTGGTTATAGCTTTGAGATTATAATATTACATAATATGATGTTGCATACAAATTGTGCTAACACCATCAATCAAAAGATGAAACCGTAAAAATAGTAGCTTTGTTTATATAATGCAGGTCCCTATGATCTCGGGGCGTAGTCTCGGTCACACTGGTGGAACCCTAGATAAGTTAGAGTCCATTGAGGGTCTGTTCGTCTCGGCGTCTAAAGATAAAATGTTGCAGATACTAAAAAATGTTGGCTGCTGCATTGTGGGTCAAACAGACAATATTGTTCCCGCCGACAGAAGAATGTACGCCGTTCGTGACGTCACTGGAACAGTTGATAACGATGGACTCATAGCAGGTATTTACTATTTACTGCAAAATGTATCCAGTGCCGCAGAATCGTCAGTATAGTTTTACTTTTATCTTTAACTCTTAACCTTATTGGAAGTTATTATTCACAGAACCAGATAATTTCAAAAGACAAAAAAGCATCCGTTAAAGTTAAATTTGGGAAAATAAGCCTTTTTGCCTTATGGCAATAGTCAAACATTGCTCAGCAAATTCTTAGAAAAAGTATACTAAAATGTAAAGAGTGGTACATTGTATATGTAGTAAGTAATGAAGAACTTTGACAGCTTATTGAAACAAGAGGCCTATGGGCCACAACGCTCACCTGAGTCGATATGGCCCTGCTGTTCTTCATCAGCAAATTTCTTCTCCTATGTATTCATATGTAAAGCTTTGATCGCCTGTTCTAGGCATACCCTACCCCCTGGTGCCATGTTTTGAATGAAATTGAATCTAAACTTTCTGAGGATGCTTCAATATTCATATAACTAATCATGCATGGCTTTGCTGTTCTTAAAAACAGAATTATTAAGATGTCTGCCACCCTACCCGGGTGGGGGGGGGGGGGGGGGGGGAGGTGTCATGATTTGAACAAATTTGAATCTACACTACCTGAGGATGCTTCCATGTCAATATGACTAATCATGGCTTTGTTGTTCTTGAGATTAAGATTTTTAAAGATTTTCCTATACATGTATATGTTCTTTTGTAAAACTTTGATCCCCCATTATGGCCCCACCCTACTACTGGAGGATGCCTTGATCAAACTTGAATCTACACTACCTGAGGATGATTCATTATCATTATGACAAATTGTGGCTTTGTTGTTCTTGAGAAGAAGATTTTTAAAGATTTTTACTATATATTCCTATGTAAACTTTTATCCCCCATTGTGGCCGCGCCCTACCCCCGGGGGGTCATGATTTGAACAAAGAACAAGGTACGGTTTCAATACAAATCTTGCCCTGTGTTTTTCTTAAAAATGACAGTGATGTAAAAAAAATTAAAACTCATGCTTTCTGAATCATTGAAATTCCATGCAGAAAGGTCTTGCAAATCATTTTTCTCACATGACTTTCTAAATGCTAATTGTGACGTCATAAACATGTGCATTTTCCCGTATTTTCTTAAAAAGTTGCAGAAGACACCAATTATCCATGGAAATTTCTTTCAGATAATATTGTCCATAGGCATCGCCCAGACAGATTTTGAGATATGTGATTTTTCAAAGAAATTTACACAACATATCTGAAAATTATAGTGGGCGATGGCTGTGGACATTATTTTCTTAAGGAAGGCTTTTTCTGATTAGAATAGAGAATGCATCAAATTAATGACGTCATATTTCCATGTGGTACTCTTTCATGCCATATTCTTTCCTGATTTATCACATTCATATACTCTATTAATATTTAAGCCAATTTCAAAACATTTTGAAGACATTAAATTTTTAGGGCAGAATAAAGTCAAAAGTGTACCTTCTTCTTTGAATCTACACTACCTGAGGATGATTCCACATCAATATGACGAATTGTGGCTTTGTTGTTCTTGAGAAGAAGATTTTTATAGATTTTTTACTATATATTCCTATGTAAAACTTTGACCCCCTATTGTGGCCGCGCCCTTCCCCCGGGGGTCATGATTTGAACAAATTTGAATCTACACTACCTGAGGATGATTCCACACCAATATGACGAATTGTGGCTTTGTTGTTCTTGAGAAGAAGATTTTTATAGATTTTTTCTATACATTCCTATGTAAAACTTTGATCCCCCATTGTGGCCCCACCCTACCCCCGGGGGTCATGATTTGAACAAATTTGAATCTACACTACCTGAGGATGATTCCACATCAATATAACTAATTGTGGCTTTGTTGTTTTTGAGAAGAAGATTTTTAAAGATTTTTCCTATATATTCCTATGTAAATCTTTGATCCACCATTGTGGCCCCACCCTATCTCCGGGGATCATGATTTGAACAAATTTGAATCTACACTATGTAATAAAGGTTTCACGTAAGTTTCAACCTTTTCAGCCAAGTGGTTCTTGAGAAGAAGATTTTTAAGTGATACCACTAAATTTTCACGAATTCTTAATTATCTCCCCTTGAAAGAGGGCGTGGCCCTTCATTTGAACAAACTTGAATCACCTTTACCCAAGGATGTTCTGTGGCAAGTTTGGTTGAAATTGGCCCAGTGGTTCTGGAGAAGAAGTCGAAAATGTTTACAGACGGACGGACAGACAGACAGACGGACGACGAACAAAATTTGATTCAGAAAAACTCACTTGAGCTTTCAGCTCAGGTGAGCTAAGAAATGTTGGTATAAATAAGTAAATATTTTAGGTTCAATAATATCAAAGAAAGCCGTGGAACAGCCGAACGCCCTTCTGTTGGATGTCAAATTTGGTGTAGGGACTTTTAAGAAAGATAAAAATAGTGCAAGAAAACTGGCACAAAAACTGGTAAGACATGCAATTTATTATCATAAAATCTCAGTAATTCATTGATTTTAGATGAGTCAGAGCCTAAAACTCGTCACAAAAATTTTAATGTGCACAGGATTAACCTGCACCTTTCAGTCAACTGAATGGTTACTGAAAATGGTCTGGAAAGGTCACTTAATGGCAGAGCTCTGCCATTCAATCACCTTTCAGTAAACTTTCAGTCACCTTTCAGTTAACTGAATTGCAGAGTTCCATCCTGTGGTGGCATTTGTTTGTTTTGTTTTTCATATGAATAATATTTCATGCTTCAAACTAAGCAAAAAAGAAATAAAAAAAAAAATACAAAACAAAAACATAGAAAACAAACAAAAAAACAAAACAAAACAAAACAAAAAAACCACATAATTAACTACGAAATTCTGAAGAAACATCACATGTTAAAATTTCACTGTCAATATCTGAACATGTTTTGACTAATCATGCAGGGGCAATTTCCTCCTAAATTATCATGAAATCATAAATCTTCTGAAAAGCGATTTATCTTACAGTAGCACTTTTGAGAATTAAAGAATTTAATATGAAGATAACGAACAGTCATCAAACTCAAAAGTCCATTTAAACAATACACGGACCTTATATACAAGGACGGGAACCGCTCTCCGCACCCGAGTTCGAATCCACAGACAGTAGCCTGAATATAGATGACCACATGGATCTTTGCGGTAATGGACATGTCATGGTTCCCTTTTACAAACTATTTACAGACAGCACGTTAGAAAGAAGAGAAGAGGATAATCAATTTATGAAATCTTTAAACCAAATTTAAACAGTCTAGTATAAAATAATTGATATTTCTTTAACTCTTTTTGTTTTTTAACAATTATGCTTCTGCTTCTTTGCTCAATATACATTATGACGTCATTAAATTGTTTACAACGTCCTTTCCATAAAAAATTAATGTCAAATGTTTAAATAAAACGTTTACAACAGTGTTGTCGTTTTCCTTTTTTGATATATAAACCAACAACACTGTATATCCTATGTGTCGGATCTATTAGATAGAGATACAACGATTTATTAATTGTGGCAACTCATCAGTAAAATAATATATATATATAAGAAATGAATTTAATTTTTGAAAAATCATGAGGTACATGAACAACAACGCTTCACGCCGGCATATTTATCATGAAGCGCTAACGGGTCATAAGTTTCAAGACTATCTTTTATATAAAGAACCACCAATTTCTCCCACATTCATAATCTTGTTCCGTTTTTTTTAATCACAAAACTCCATACGCACACAGCATTTTATTCAAAACGTGCTTTAATTTTTTTTTATAAAAGTACAATCATTCACCAGTATAATTCAATAAGTCCTTTATTTTTACAGCTAAACATTTCAAATTGATTTATATTAATCATTTTATTAAATAACTCAAAATTAATGAGAATTTTTCAGCATTCAAATATCCAAATTTAAACTGTCCAATATCAGCGTCTTTCCTGTAAATGTCGAATATCACATCATTCCAATGACACTACTCAGCATTATGATTACTTATTGAGGTTTTTTTATTCAGGCAAGTAGGTACTAAATCATTAATTAATAATTTCAATTTTGTGTGAAAATAGACACATCTTTCCAAGTTGCAACTATATATTCGTCATAAATATTGCCGTTGAGCGGTTGGCCAGACGACACGGGGCGTTCAATATTGAACGGAAAGGTATTCGGAATGTTTCGGGACATACTTGTATTCGAAAGTATTTGGCCCCAGTTTTTGGCAACCCCTTTTTTAGCTCTTTGAATGTATTTTAAATTTAAATATTTCGGATTTCCAACGTTTCGGCATGAGCGTCATTGAAGAGACATAATTTGTTGAAATGCGCATCTGGTGCATCAAAATTGGTACCGTATAAGATTTTACATTATGACCCCTCGGTCGAGGCCTCTGCTGGTGGACTGTTAGTCCAAAAAGGTCTCTACAGCCCAGTAGCTAAGTACTTCGGTACTACATGTAACTTGAAAATACGGATGTATATGTAATTGCTGTGGAAAAAATTAGAAATTTATTTCAAAATCCAGGATTATCTCCCTCATGCATAGCTCTGATCCTTCGAAAGTATTTGTCTCCAGTTTTTGGCACCCGCCTTTTTCAGCTCTTTAATTTATTTATTTTTTGTTAAATATTTCGGATTTCCAACGTTTCGGCATGAGCATCACTGAAGAGAACTCTTCGTTCAATAAAACGCCAAGACACTGAATGCTAAAATTCTCTAGATTTTTTAATTCAAGTTTGAATATTAATCCTGTGCACAGGTTAACAGTGGCAACAGTCTAGGCATAAAGACAGTGGCCTTCCTGACCGACATGAATAATCCAATAGGAAAAATGATTGGGAACGCACTAGAAGTTGCAGAATCCGTGAATTGTCTCAATGGAAATGGACCAAGCGAATTGGAGGATCTTGTAGTTAAACAAGGTAATAATGTATGATACAGTTAAAGTTTGAAAGAGTTACTTTAACAAAAGAATAAAAAGATATTAAAAAAAGAGTCATTTTTGCTTCGCCTGAAGAGCAGAGCGACACGAAAGGATCACCTTGCCCGGCGTCTGTCTGTCCTTTCGTCCGCCTGTCACAATCTATATCTTGAGAACTGTAATTTGTACATGTATAGCTTGGTACTATGGCTGTAATTTGTAAAATACCAAGCTTACGCCTATGAACTTGACCTACTTTTAGAAATAGTCATAGAGCCGATATACAGCTTATTTTTGACAATTAAGAGTTGAGCTGTGCTATTTAGCATGTGCACTGATTGACATTAGATATCCTAACAAGATGTGTTTGTGAAACACTGATGCCCCGTATGGCAGCTTATGGCGAAGGTAAAAGTTTCTCAAATGCAAGTCAAAATCCAGGCCAAAAGATAAAAAAATGTTGGTACCAAAAGAAAGGTCTTGTCTGAAGGTTTAAGTTTTTTTAAAAGTAAGTAAAACCGACAATTGATGGCAACATCAGTGTTTTCTTGTTCCTTATAGTTAGGAGGTGTTTGAAATCATGTCTTTATTCAAATGTCACACTTTATATAATGATTTCTATTCTATCGAAGTCTTTTCTATATCCATGGTATTTTATGCAGGCAGATGCATGAACTATAATTAGACAAATTTGGCTTTCCAGAAAGCCTGAAATGTCATCTCTTTGGCTTCATTAATGTCACAGAATAAACAGTGGAATGAAACATATTTTCTCTTCTACTACAGGCAGAAGAATCGTATTTTAAAGGGGGGACAACTTAACTGAACAATCTTTGACTAGAAAAAGGGGGGTATCCAAACTTGAAAATCAAATTTTGTGGATGGGGAGGGAAGATTTAAACTTTATTTTTTTCGAAAAACACATTTATTTAGAGAGGATATGATTATTCTGCAACAAAAATTTGGGTAAAGGGTGGAACAAGCGGCCATTTAGTGAACATTTGCGACAATAAAAGGTTACGTTTAAATAAGTTGGGAGGGGGTGACCCTCCTGATGACACGTGCCTGTAATATTTAATCTATGGGAAAATATATTTTGTTCATCAATTTTATTTTTATTGTACATTGTGTTTAAAAAAAAAATGAAAACACTAAGCAATGTTGATAAAATTTGTAAACAATTGTTAAAGAAGAAGACGGGTAAAACTTTGACTTTAATTCACAGCCGCTTACTCTGACAGCAGCCAAGAAGTTTTAAAGCGCTAACTTAAATTAGTCACGCCCTCAATTGATTTCCAAAGATTTTCCTTAATCTTATTCTCCAAAGTGACCTGACCATCGAGCCACAGGGGATATAAAGGGGAAAATGAAGTACTCTTACATAAACCCTTCTACTGTCCAGATTCAACTTCTAACGCTTTATATAATATAAGTACATGCAAACGCTACTGACAAAATATAGCATAGAAGAGTTCGTTCTTTGTTTGGAACACTCTAGTCTATAATTGTATGTCTTCAACGAGTGTGTGCTGTTTTAGTATTCCGTTGTTGTATCAGCTGTCAATTCACAAAATATCACAGTGTATTTTGAATTTATTTTCCACTTTCAATTTTTCAGAGTCTTAATTTCATTTTGATGATAGCAGATATTGTATTGATAATAGTTGGCATCATATTATTTTTTATTTTCATAATAAAAGTCAATGATTAAAGTTTTTTCCTAATTTCATTCTGACAATTTTCTGTTTATTTTGTTTAAGGTGGACAGTTGTTGTTCCTTAGTGGTAATGCTAGTTCTACAGACGAGGGACAAAGGAAACTCAAAGAAACTCTGACTAATGGAGAAGCAGCAAGGAAGTTTAAGGAAATGATAATTGCACAGGGAGCAAATCCAGAAAAAGCCGAGGTCTTGTGCACAAAGGGAGCTAATGTATGGAGTGTACTCCCAAAAGCCAAGTTTGTTACTCCCATCAAGAGCAAATGTTCAGGTAAAATTTAAGTTTAATTTTTTATTTATGTATTCATTTATTTTTAGTGTTTCAAAATACTTCTCTTTTTCATACATTGATTTATCCGAAAAGTTCTTGTTTTGATAGGTTTCGTCTATGCTATAAATTCACAAAAATGCGGAGTTTGCTCTAAAATGCTTGGTGCTGGGCGCCAAGCCAGTACTGACCAAATCGATCCTTCTGTTGGCTTAGAATTGTGCGTGGACATTGGGGCCAGTATTTCAGAGGGTAAGTCAATCAATACTGAATGCCTGTTTAAGGTAGAATCAGTAACGTCGGGTATAGAATTGAATATTATGTTCCTAATCTTCACCTTCTTCATTCTTTATCATTTTGTTTCATTTTGAAACATTTTAACGTAACATTTATCAAGTTTTTTTTTTCTTAGTCATAAGTAAATGTTCGACATTTTAGGGGGATGAGGGTGGGTGGACGATAAATTGAAAAGGCTGTATTTACTCCTCCTAGACACCTGATCCTACATCTGGAATTTCCGGGGGTCCTTGTTTTACGCCCTGTTCACAGATTCGTATTGTTTGTAGATTTTTTTTTAGATCGGTCACTGTTCGTTATCTTCATCTTTTTAACTTTTTCTTGAACAATTCAGTTCAGATGTGACACCTGATGTTTTTAACATTACTCATATCTAAAATTTTTACAGATAACAAAGACATGCTTGTTCTCACAAAATTGGTAATTTTTCAGGTGACATTTGGATAAAAATTCATCATGATCGTGAGGTCATACCTGATGACATAATGACACTCCTAGAAGAGGCCATTGATGTTCAGTCATCACCACCAGAAATCTTGCTCACTCGTGTCACAGAAACCATAAAATAAAAATTAAAGAAAATATACATGTACAATGGTTTCAACTTTCCCGATGTTATAGTTGATTCTTCATTACGCCTTTAGAAATTTGAATTTGGAATTCAAGTTTTCAACTGTGTTCTTTATATTTATTAATTTCTTTTGCAGCCAACTTTACACCAAGGTGATTAGGATTATCAGATTGCCATTTCCTAGAAAATTAATATCATTTCAGTGCTTTTACGAATTCCATTTTTGCACGTATCTTATCTATCTACATATATATGACTCAAAGGCAGAATGAATACAATTTGGTTAATTTGAAATTTTTTAAAAAATCAAATTATCAGTTCTTATCTTGAATATAGACTTTAAAGTAATTTTTTCTTGCGTTTTTGTGTGTGTGTTTTCAGCTAATTTTTTACAATATTATTATCAGATAAAAATTTTACTTCAGATTTATAGCTCAATATGTACATTTGTGTGTTTTATAATAAACGAATGAATTGTAAATGAGACACTTTATTATGATATGTGATTAATTTTGGGAAATACGTTTTAAAACAACATTTAATTATTACAGTTTTAAAAATATTTTCTTCGTTGTATTTTATACTATAAAACTATTTTTTTTATAATTGTAAAGAAGAGAAAATTCTAAAATATTTAAAGTTTCAGTTTGTGTACTTTTTACAATCGCTACACTGATATCTTATTATTTACAAGTATTAAAATTATATGATAATTTCTAATGTTATAATTTTCTGAATGTTAAATGACATGTTACTTCAATTTTAAAACAATCATTAATTGATGGTTTTAATTTCATAATTAAAGTCCACATCCTGTGACTTAACATCTTTTACAATACTGATGTTATTATATCTCGCAACTTTGGAAGAAAATTCCTCTAAGTATTATTTTTAGTTATAAAATGTCAATTTCTTCAAACAATAAAAGTGTTTTTCAAAAATAAAATTGTTTATTGTTTAGATCAGAAAATTTTTTTTTAATTTGTAGTGTATTACTTGCCTAATTTTTTTTATTGTTCAACATCAATAGCTACAATAACTTCAGACCTGAATGGCATCTATGACAGTGTTCCTGTGTGATAAGTTGCCACAAAATCTGGATCAATACTTTTCATACTATATCAAATTGTTATCATTCCTTTGATTTTAAATTAAAGTTAATTCTCGAGATATAAGAAATATAGTGTCGATGATCTCATCTTTATAATACATTTGTCAAAACTCTTCAGATTATGTGTCTGAGAACAATTAGATGACATGTTTCAAGCTCGACAAATAGTATAAAACTGATCGTCAGACAAATGATTTGCTACTCTGAATACCTTTATTAATTACACCTGGCATTGCTCATTAATAAATTAAGGAAAGAAAATGGCGTTGCCTGAGTGATTTTTTTAAGCGATATAAGTTATTCATGTACAGAATAATATTGAATCGAATTTTTTATACAAATTATTTGGCTATAATTATACTTTTCCTGATGATTTTTCAACGGATAACGTGTACTCTGTTTAGTCGATCAAGAAGTAAAAGATAAAGATAACAAACATTGAACAATCTGGAAAAAAAAATCCATAAACAATACAAAAAATATGAAGAGGGCATAAACACGGACCCCTGGAAATTTCAGAGGTTGTATCAGAGGTCAGAGGTGGGATCAGGTGCCTAAGAGGAGTACGCATCCCCTGTTTAACGGTCACACCCGCCGTGAGCCCTATGTATTGATCAGGTAGACGGAACTATCTGTAGTCAACTCAGTACAAAAACAACGGCCTAACAATCGGTATGAAACAAGTCAGCCAAAATACGATCCAATGATAGGCTATATTTGTTAAGAAGGTCACTTTTACGAAATCTTGACTTTAAACGAGGCTGTTGAAGTCCCTGGTACATAAACTCATCAATGAGTAGCCTGCCTCGCTTTAAAAATTGATCGTACTCAGAGCAAGCTCTTGAGTAGCGAATAAGTTGGGAGACATAAACACCATAAGCAGGTGATAGTGGAATATTACTACATAAATAAGGAAACTTGACGATGGGAAAGCTAAATCATTTCGGTTGTCACACAATTAACATGTTAATTTGCCTTTGTCGTCTATAGTCAGTAAACATCTAAATATAATTCCAATCTCATTAGCATATTCAGCAATCAAGCCTTCTGATTGGTTTATAAGCCACAAACACAATTTTTTACACTTCGATAAAAAAATCGAAAGCCGGAACTACTTTTCTGACCCATATCCAATGTAAACAATATGGCCGACAATATGTTGTCGTAATTTGTTGGGGAAAATTAATTGTTGACAATAAAGGAATTTTTAAAGTTTTTTTTTTTTAATAAATCAATTTTGAATTCAAAAGTTTTAACTTTTCTAATCATGTGTAACTTAAATTAAATTTATTATATCTGTAAATATAACGTCTGCTTGGAATACCCATCAAGGGGGTCCACGCAGTACAGTTAAGGTGACAAATGGAAATATCGGCGAATTTTTTTCATATAGAAAATACATTCTTTATAAGGATGGGCGATTCTTTTTAGGACTTTACTATTATCGGACAATGTAATGTGGTTGAAAACTACATGTTGGGGACGATTAGATTTCTTATCCAGACTTGTGACGTAATGTGGCAGTCACGTGATTTTAGCAAATATACCTGCAGTATTGAGGTCATCTGTCAATTCCAATATTGCATATCTAAGTTTAAAGGTCAACTGAAAAGGTTCTCAAAGTCTGTTTAAACAATTTATTTAGGAAGTTGATACCTAAGAAAGAATTGTCCAATGATTATTATTTTTTTACCTCGTTGAAACACAGGTAAAAATTTCTCAAATCCGAAGCTCAGGTAAAACGGTCCGATATGAGTTATCTGCCCTTTAGTGGAACATGGCGTCGCCCATAATGTACGAATCTAACGAAGTGACACGGACGAAAGTATACCTGAAATAGACTTAACCTTTAACGAGGTTGGATCCTGATATTTAAAGTCTTAAACTTTTTTGTCAAGTATATTTTTAGTTTCTTCACACATAACTTAATTAAAAATCAAAACAAAAAATGGGGATCAATACGCTTTTTTGGTGCTACAGTTCTTTTAATATGACCTTTTTGCACTGAAATTTGTGTCATAATCAAAAATCACATCTTCGACGTTTTCCCTCCAATGTTTTTATCCAAATAAATCATGGGACAAAATAAACTACTAGTCTATTAAAAAAAGAAAGACACATTAAAATTTTGCCTGAGAAAAAGTTTCAAATTGCTTCGCATTATCAATTTTTGGACCTTTCTGCACTCACAAAATGTGATTTTTCTGACATTAAAAATTTAACTAGCAAGAAAATTATTTTAAAGTCTTAAACTTTTGCTGAATTTAAGCAGATTGATCAAAGTCATCTTATATATTCAGAAAAAAAAAAACAAAAGTGGGGGTCTATGATGTAAATTTTTTGATATTAATAAAAAAGTGTTAATTTTAGGTTAAAATTTGCTCACTTTTTTTCCTGGACTTACAGAATGCATTTACTATATTTGTCACTATATAATGAAATAATTCATAAGAAATAATTTAATAGATATTTCAGAACCAGTATAAAACATTTCACTGCAAAAAAACTGCTCTGTGTGCAACTAGCATGGAAAAATAGGAATCTAAACTTAACAGTACTGTATATATTTCAAAAAGGAAAAAATTGATCATTTTCTTCTAAGAAAACCTTCCGCCGCAAAATATAGTTCCTGACTTAATCCTATTTCGATGGAATTTAATTGTGGTTTTTTCATTGGATATAGTTTAGTTTGCATTGTAGAATCGAGATTTAATGTTAGAACTTAAAAATGATGCAGAATTTTAGAAATGAAGGTCCTGACCAAAATCTGCTCAAAGGCACAGGATCGAACCTCCTTAAAGTGACTTGCAGCCGTATCAATACGAGCCAGTTAAAAGACAAGAAACAACAAGACAGCCGTTTGACGATGAAAGTGTCTCCGGGCAGTCGGCACAAAGCAGAGTCCATAGTGATGATGAAATCTCTGAACAACTGCCGTCAGACATGCATTTTAAGTATTAACTAAAAGTATATGAAATGATCAGCATAAAAAAGTTTCAGAACCTTGTATTTAGAGGTAGATTTTAAGTATGTTGATTCTAGGATTACCCTTACCAAACTGTTATGTTTGCAGCAGACCTGCAGCAAGTCTGCTGCAAGTTTGCAGCAAACAAAATTGTTCGCAGGAAGAAAATTTTCTTGTTCGCAGATGATTGCCGCTAGCTGCGATCTTGCGGCAAACATTGCAGCAATTGCTGTAAGCTTGCAGCAAATTCGCAGGAACTCAACATGTTTGCAGGAACATTGCAAGAAACATACACGCCAATCTGTTGTTCACAGCAAGTTCGCAGGAAACATTTAACAAATTGAATGTTTGCAGGAAGTTCGCAAGAACAGTAAACAAGCCAAATCAGCCAATGAAATGCAGATTATACTGGGATCAACACAGAATTTGCCAGTTTGAAATGTTTGAATTGAAGTTGTAGATGTTTCAGTATTTTGTTAGGAATATATACCATTTTAAATGATTACAAAAGCATAATTCTGGATGTAGCTGTACATTGGCATACACAACATCTGATTGGTAAGATCTGATTTTGTTTTATTTTGATATGAAACAATTATCTCTTTAAAGCATGTTTAAGTAACTGATGTACTTGCTTAGGTCAAATCTTAATCTATTTATGAATTTTAATCTTTATTTTGATATTACATTTGTATGTTTCTTTAAATATATTAAAAGTTCCAAATCAACTATAATAAATGTTTATATGTTTTCAAATGAATTGGTATTAACCGTAAAATTTCATTGTTAAAGTAATGTGCAAAGGTTTTTAATTTTCTGTACATATCCAAAAAAATATATTTTTATTAAGAATACTAGTAGTATGTGAATATGTGAACATTGTCGAAGGAACATAGAGAGAGACTATCAACACTTCAGAAACTAGCTTGCATCATTTCAGAACACGTGGTGGATTTTCTCTATAATTAATAGATTAAGGTCAGGACTGTCTGCGAACTTGCTGCTTGTACGCAGGAATGTGCCAAAAACAATAATTATATTCCTTGCCGCAAGTTAGCAGCAATGTTTGCCGCAAGCTTGCAGCAATGTTTGCCGCAAGCTTGCAGCAACGTTTGCCGCAAGCTTGCAGCAAGGTTTCCATATTTGGAAAATCCAGTGTTTGCTGCAGACTTGCAGCAAACCTCATTTGCATGGTAAAATGTTTGCTGCAAGCTTGCCGCATACTTGCCGCAAACTTGCTGCAAACACAAAGTCTTTGTATAGGCTGTCATGGTTTCTTTAGCTTCATTGCAGCAAGCTTGCAGCAATGTCTGCAGCAAGTTTGCAGCAATGTTTGCTGCAGACTTGCAGCAAATGTTTGCAGGAAGGCAATATTTTTGGAAAGGGTAGTACTTCATGTACATATTGGTATACTGATCCTACACTATTCTCTTTAGAGAAGTGGACGGGCTTTCGCCTACATCCAGGCGAAAGTCTGTCCACTTCTCTAAAGAGAATAATCCTACACGTAAACACAATAGGACAGCTGTTGAAGGACGAGAATAAATTTTAAAAATATTTTAAGGTTTCAAATCCTATGGAGATATAAAAGACAGTATGAATTTAAAGAAATTTAATTGTTGTATGGACAGTTTCAATCGGATTACATTTACTACTGGACTTTTGCGAGAAGCGCTGACTTTTTCAGTTGACGGCTTACTTTGGCATTTAAACCTGTGTTATGTATGGAGGTACGGAATTGATCATAGATAATGAAACTTTATTAGTGAGTATTGGTATGGTATTAGGAGTGCTTACATGATTTACCGGTATACAATTAACACAAGAGATGATGTGAGACAGAATAACAACTTAAAATACTTATTTCGTGAGAAATAGTATCTACTTTCAATCTCATTTTCTCAAGGAATCAAATAAGGAAGAAAAACATTCCGGAAGGAAAATTAGGCAGGAATTGGTTAAGGTTGGAAGGGAGATGGTTGCGGATATTGAGGTTGCCGTTCACTTCCTAGAAAACTTTATATGCTCTTTGTTATGGCATATAATAACCTTTTATTTAACTTTTAATCTAAATATTTATATTGCGAAAGAGCTTCCATATATGGTCCTGGTGTAAAAGTTAACCGTCGACTGTAAAAGTCAGTGCTTCTCGCAAAAGTCCAATATGGGCAGTTTAAATCGGATTACATTTGCTACTAAGTATTTTACATGAATTATGATTTATATAGTTATATTCATGAAAAGTATACTTTATTTACAAAATTGCAAATATGGGTGGTAACATTATTTTGGGGTACAGGTGTTCCTGTAAAAATTCCATTACTATGCCAACTGCAGAAGAATGTAAATGACTTTAATGTTGCCGTTTTTTTGCTGCTATTGAGTCAAGGTTGGAAGAGAGAGGAGAGACCTGCATTACAGAACATGAGGGTTTTGCAGCAAACTGTCTCAACAGATGGGTTTTAGAGACATCCTTTTATGAATATCTAGAAGAACATGGACCACTTGAAGAAAATGAATCAGTGCACAGGTAGCTTAGGTTTTTTTTTGTAAAAATGTAAAATGTAATCTTGATAATACAAAAAAGAAGTATTTATATACATGCATGTACATGTAAATACCTCTGGTCATTCTGATTGAAAGGAATATTTAATACTGTCCGAACTAATGAAGCACCAAAAAACAGATATACTTTACAATTCTAGAAAATATTTTAATTGCCATCTTTTTAATGATCATGATTTTATGTCAAAGGATTTGGAATAAAATTAAGCAATAGTTTCAATTGTTTACATATAAGCATGAATGTTTAGGGGGGGGGGGGGGGGGTTGTACCTTGTAATGCAACTGTAAAGACATGTATTATAGATTATACATTTCAAATAATAGCTTATTTAAAAAAAATCACTGAATCTAACTGCAAGTGTCGTTAGTTCTGATTATTTTTAAAAAGTTTGTCTGTTCTTAGTGTTTACAGGCATCTAGCATATCGACGATTTGTGCGATGGATATGGCAATGTTTGGGGAAAAACAACAGGAAGATCTTGCCATCATGTGTAGTAACAAAGATTAGAACTGCATTTCCATCTCAGCAATACTGTGGGTTTAGGTATCCAACAGGAATGTCCTAGGTACACATATTTGGGGAAAGAAAACAATGGAATCTTTTTAAAGGATTGTAATATAAACAAGCAACTTCATTATCCCTGTATTCATGACTCAAAAGACATAATTTTATTTTTACAAGCTTAGAAAATTATTGATGTTTACAAGCTTAGAAAGTTATTGACGTTTGAACACAATTCATTTTGTTTGTTCATTATTGTATGGTAAACTAACATTTTTTATTAAACCGACAGATATGGCGCTCCACAAGTTCTGATTTTGGGACATGTTGGTACGAGGATGCAATTGGAGCAGGACAGTTCACCATGGCAGCCTCACGGCTCTTTCTGGACTCACTGTACGAACCAAACTCCAGTCTCACTTTGATCACTTCTTGCATCAAAATCATTGTATAATCTTTAAACAAACAGAGAAATTAATTTTAAAGAGATATATGTTAATATGAATAAAATTAAGACACACTATTACATACTAAATGTATTACGTTATAGGAAAAGTTTTAGACTTTTTACTTATTGTATGTTTGCTTTACTTTGACTTCCTTTGGAATGCCAGCTCCATTTCTGCCTTTTGGATATGATACAGAATATATTAGCTCTCCACTTTTGTTTACAGCTTGATCCCGGCTTGAGTTTTCATTGAAGTGCAGGGCTGCAATGTATAGTCTGGAAAAAAAGAAGAACAGTGGAATTCATGAATTATGATTAAAATCTTTTAAAAGAAATATCTCAGCATTTGAGTTTTGAATAAAAGAAAAAATACTTACCTGGCCTTCATTGTAGCATAAAAGAAATGCAAAGATTTGGCTGCAAAATGACACACTACATTGTGGTAGGCTTCAAGTGCTGAAGTTTGCTCTGCAGGGGAGAGTTTCTTAATGTCTTGCACCAACAGTCTGCCCTTAACAACTTTTTCCATCTCCTGGAAAGCTAGGCTCCCTGAAATAAGGATACATTTTTTTATAGTTTACATCAATATTGCTTCATAACAATGTACAGACTTTCATATATTTATGTATTGTAGAATATATATGTCACATAATTATACTGTATATCTGCAAAGTAGAGGCTCAAAAATGTTTTTTTTTTTTAAGCCCATGCTTACATAGTTACCTTTCTTAATCCAATCTCTGTCCTCCATGTCACCATGTAAGCACTTGGGGAATCGCTTTCCATGACCCTCACGAACATCAGTGATGTGGTTGAGGATAGACAGCCATTTCTCAGACACCAATTCACCATCTCCTTCCCTAGATGCCGCACACCAGTATAGGTGGTTTGAAACTGACTGGGCCCAATCACCCACTTGCTTGTTCTTCTTTTTCTTCCCAATAGCCTCCATCTTTTTAAAACACCCCTACAAAACGCAAATAATTTTTAAATGTTAAGTATATATAGCTATTCAGGTAAATAACTTTAATGAGGAATACCTAATGCATTAATGAATTGTATGAAACTGTAAAGTGAGTTTACCTTTGGCCATATGCCACACATCAAACCAAAGGCCATTATTTACACACTGAATTGTCGACGGATTTTTCCGTTATTTCCCGATCATGACAAGGAGCACACGGCGGGTGTGACCGGTCGGCAGGGGATGCTCACTCCTCCACGGCACCTGATCCCGCCTCTGATGTTTGGAGGTCCGTGTTTGCCCTGCTCCTATTTTGTATTGTATGATGGACTTTTGAGCTTGAATGCTGTTCGTTATCTCCATATGTTTCATTGATGTCACTTCTTCTTTTTTCATGTAAGCTTTAATCTGGGGATGTCTGTCAGTAACAAGGTCACTAATATCTACTCCCTCCTCTTCCACTCTCTTAAGGCACCTCGTCAAACCCTCCATTTCCATCCAATATGAACCTTTGACTTCATTGCTCTTAAAAAGTTAAGCATATATTGTTTTGAGAACTTAAACTCATTTTAAACATGGCATACTATTCAGTATTCAGTGCTGAATGTTGATGTCAATATTTCCACTTTTGGGCAAGTAATATATGCATGCAAGTGTAGTAAGGTAAAAAATATCAATAAGAGGTATTGCACTCTTCTTACCTGAACTAGTTGAACATCAAGTATCTGTCTCAGCTCCAGATCCATCAAACTATATGATCCATATTTAGCTGTGTGTCCTGGTGAACAACATCTAGCATCTCCCCCAACAACTACAGCTACATTTTGTTGTCTTATTACATCAAATATTGCATCTTGATGTGCTTTCCAAACCCTTTCAACAGCTGGTACAAGATAATGCTGTTGGATGTTGTGATAGGTTCTCTCTGAGAAACAGGATATATTAGCATGTTGAAACATGGTCAAACTTTGATTTATGCTACTGCCACTAATCAAAATTGCTGCTGACAAGACCAAGTTTCCAGTAGGAATTGATCCAGTGAAGGGTTGTGATCCCCATTTGAAAGTCTCCCCACAGACACATACCCTGGACACAAACAACAGAGTTCCAACTATGGTTTTCTTAATGTCACACTGCTGTCCACATATTGTACAAATCTGGAGAAGCTGGTCTAAACATTGAATTGAGCATATTTTATTGCAATATATATACAATGGGAATGGGCACAAGTTCTTAAAACTTATTTTGCCCTCTCCCTACATGAGAAGTTTATAAAGTTTGAGTAACATGTGTTATACAGTTTTAGAAATAAATTTGATAAACTCATAACATGAATTTATAAACTGCAAGAAGATTTGTGATATACAAATGCAATACATAAACAATTACAATAAATTATTTAAATCTGCCAGAGTGCTGAATATATGAATGCAAAATGGAAAAAAAGATATTCATTTTCAGCAACACTTAGTGAAGTATCCCCCCACAGTAAAGTATGGGTGTCAACAGTATGAACCTTATCAAATCTCAAAAACTTATCGAAAAAATCTTTCCTGGCCTTAGTATAATTATAACAAGAGAAAACATAATGATGTGTGTCTTCTACTTTTCCACAAGAACATAATGGACTTGATCTAATGTTACACCTATAGAGATCAATATAAAATACACAGTTATGTCGAAGTCTGGTGTGCAGTGCATTATTACGCCTTTTTCCAAAACTGAAATAAGGTGGAGTTACTGCTATTTTTTGCGAAATCGTTCTTTTAAAGACAGAAAGTGAGCTCGAGATTCTAGTTTCTAGCGATAAGGAGTTCCATTCATTAATTACAGTTGGAACAAATAATGATTTATAAGTGTGCAGTCTACACATGGGTATGTTATAATTTTGAGAGTTTCTTGATGTATAAGTGGAAGCGTTATATCGTATGTCAGGTATGATATCACAGAGATAATCAGGAACTAAATTATTATGAATCCTATACATAGTATTTAATCTGTGTAGCTTGCGTCTATCACAAAGCGGCTCCCAGCCAGTTTCGAAATACAAAGACTCTCTAGAAGCTAATAAAGTCCGACTAGTAACAATACGGGCTGCTTGTAGTTGTAATTTCTCCAATTTTTCAGAATCTGTATTTGAACAACCACCCCATACTACTGACGCATATTCAAGTTGAGGGCGGATAAATGAGTGAAAGAGTTTTCCGATTTATTTTAAATTTTCAATTTTATTTTCAATAGACCCAACTTCTTGTATGCATTTAATAGTAAGATTTCAAGATGGGATGACCAACTTAAGTTATATGAAAACGTTATTCCTAAATGCTTGTGGGTTTGACCATATTCTAATTGGTTATCTTGAAAACATTCTTCAAATACAATAAATTTTCTGCTACAGTGACTTGGAGGAATATCATGAGGAATATCATGATGATCTATGTTGTTGTTTTCATCCATTCTGAAGCTGCAGAATCTGTGCTGGCCAGTGACTCGAAGCTCTCGTCAAGGTCCTCAGGTGCATCCAATGAAAACAGTGTTTCTGTTTGGGTACCAGTGGATATTGTACTGGGCCGAATCTCTGTCTGTATGGAGACATGCCTGCGTTTCTAAAAATCATGAAGTAAAATTAAAATGAGACATATCAAATTATTTAATTAAAATATTATCTCTATAATAAATTGATAAATTCAAAATGCTCTGCTTCTATCAATACAAATGAAACAAAACTTACCATCAACCCATAAGTAGTCTGTGTAGACATTTCAAAAGTCATTGTGTGTGCTCCACTTTGACAGCTTGGTTCTGTGTTTAGAGTCTCTGGGCTGTCCTGAAACTGGCTCGGAGGAGGAAGAATAATCTCTGCATCTTCATTAAGGTTCTGATTAAGATTACAAATATTATTGAAGTTTACCATATAGTGATTAACTTTTCAGTACAGGTAACGTTATATAGGCCTATATATTTTTAAATTTAATTTGTTTATTTCCCAAGGCCCCATAGGGCTAAAGGAAAGTTCATTGTAAACACCTGTATGTTTTCATTATACATATAATTCATGAAGGTATTGTAATGAAATTCGTTATTTAAAGTACAATGTATGTGGACAACTCTACACCACAATTAATTAAAGAAATATGGATACATTAAAATTTCGTAAATCCATTTCAAAACTTAAAAAAAAAAACTTACTGCGAGTGCACGTCTTTTCTCCAGAACTTTCGATGTCCGACTTGTTTTGGTATAACATCTACATCTGCCGTTTTCCTTTTATGGCCTTTAATGGCTTTAGTTTTCAATGGAGTATAGTCAAACATGCTAGGTATGGCATCTTTTTTTAACTGGAGTCGATTATACCTCATGCATCGCGCTCTGGAAGGCTCAATTATAAAACAGTCTGGGGTAAAATGCTTCTCGCAAAGCTTTGAATGTTTGGATGGCCAATAATTAATGGTTTTCAGCTTTCTTACCCAAATTTGGCATAATTTTGGATCCTCGGGGAAAGCAAACATAGACACACCGGGTGCACGATGTTTCGGGACCACGACGTTTCGGGACCAGACTAATACGACGTTTCGGGACTAGCAACAAGACGATTCGGGACTTGAGTTAATTTTTTTCGGGATCTAAACAAATTATTTTATTATGGTGATATAGCATATTATTCTAATTACACATAGTACGTAATATTTCAAGCTAAATCCGAATTTTAATTTTTATGTAAATATGTGATAAAAATTGTCATAAAGATATACTTTGATGGGTTTTTTTTTTTATAACAGACGAAGAAGAATAAATCTTTACAATATTCATTTTTATTTCTTTTTAATTTTTTATCATTTTTTTATTAGTTATTTTTTCTTGTGTGTGTGGTGATGGGGGGGGGGGGGAGGGGGTCCAAAATTTAATCTTCTCAGGTTGATGATAGATATTTTAAAATATTCAAGTGATCTCCAGCTACCGTCGAATATATCTTTAAAAAACATGTCAGTAAATTGTTAAAACAACAACTGGGATCAGGTACACATATCCCAACTGATACTCTATACATAGGGAGGTGTTACGTACATGTATAAAGACGCCGCCGGTAATGGGAACTAAAAAGATTGTGTGGTTTCTTTTGAAATTATTTTAAGAAAATAAAAATCTAAAAATATGGAAAAAATATCGTTTGTTTATTGGTAAATGAAATAATTCAGAATCAAACAATAGTTCAACAAAATATAAAGGTTTTCAAAATGATTTGATCTTGATTTTGTCTACCTTTTCCCAAACGGTTTCAAATATTTTTTTTCCAAAAAGTTTTGGCATAGTATCTGTAAGATTCTTCCCTGGAAATGTTACGAAAACATTTTTAAAGTTTCCAAAACATTGTAAATAAACATATTTTACAAATGTTGCGAGAACATTGGCCCTAAATTTAAAAAAAATACCATACTTTAAAAAAAGCATTAAATGGTATAAACAACATGATTTCATTTGATATCGTTTCAAATAATGTCTTTAAAAACATTTTAAATTTCATCATAGCTTTATCTATGTAATGGCAAGGTGGAAATTTGAAATTTAAGTTGACCTGTTAACGTAGTCAATGTGGAATGTCTTTTAAACACTTTTACAACGTACATGTAGCATGAAAAATTTAATATTTGCAAATTAAATAATATTTAGTATTTATTTACAGTATTATTTAAAGTTTGTCATGTACCTAACTATGTAACACCACATATAATATTACGCACTGGTCGGGTATATAAGAAGATCGATAATTGAGTTTCATTGAGATTTGTAGTCTGTGTATACACAGTAAACATAAATTCAGACATCCATATCATTGTAGACAAATTAACAGTTTTGATAGTACAATAATATATAGCGAGAATATTTGGGACTTTCGTGGGAATAATTTTTTTCTAATTAAAATAAATGAATAAAATCGATTACTTTCATCATTTTTCTTAAGCCATCGAGTACATGTACTTTGCATAGACGAAGAAATTGTCTAACTTCGAAACGTTAAGATGAAAAATAAGTTAAACGTGTTTATATTTTGAAAATTAGTAAGTTTGGTTAATTTCCAAATGTTGCATACATGGTATATATATACACATCATACTTTCAGTAAAATTTACTTTACAAGCTGTTGACTTTATATATATTTGAAATGTCAAATACATGCTGATTTTCTTACCCATTTCGTTTTTTTTCCTTCTCTGCTTAACGTATACATGGATGTGTAGGAAGTTTATAGCTTAAGTTATAACATTTCTCTTACCCGTAACATTTTGTATAAATTTGCTTTTATGATTTTGTTGCATATATACATGTAACCTGAAATAATAATTATAAATTTTATACATTGATGTTTAAAAAGTTGAAGATGGAATATTTCAGATTCTGATTCAAAACAACTACCCAAAAACGTAAAGTTTTTACTGCACATGTGCTAGCTTGGGCCTTTGTAAATTTTGTAAACAAATATGAAATCAAATACCTAAAATTATTATTAAAAAGGAGAGAAAGAAAAACACGTCCGTGGTCTTCACACAGCAGTTACGATTGTCTCCCAGCTTTAATTCTACAAACTCTCTTATCAAACACTATAAATAAATCAAATACATATTTAAAAAAAAAAAAATGAATTAAATTTTGGTCAAATGTTAACCAAATACTTTATAAAGGTAATATGTCAAATACTGTAATAAGAAATTAAAGAGACAAAACCGCGGGCGTTTGATTTTCTCGGCAGGCGTGCTCCATGCCGCAGGCAAACTTTAAAACTAATAAAAACTCCAATCAGTGCTTCTTAAATTATAAATTGTGTATCAAACTGAGAAATTATACATGTATAAGCATAAAAACACAAGTAAACAAGTTTTATTTCATTTCCTTTACAAAATATTTAGAAGTCCCGAAACGTGTTAGCCCAAGTCCCGAAACGTGTTAACCCAAGTCCCGAAACGTGTTGTCAGGTCCCGAAACGTCGGGGTCCCGAAACATCGCGGTCCCGAAACATCCATAATTCGACACACCCTGTCCGTATCGGATATTACAGTTTGGTGCAGCACACAGCACCATACTTTACTTTTCAATCCCCTATCGTCTGAAGCATGCCGTTTCAGCGTCTGTAGTTTCAATGAATGTCAGACAGCTCGGCCCAACGACACCTCGGCCCAACGACATCTCGGCCCATTGACACCTCGGCCCCGACGGGTCGGGCCAAGATTTGAGACACCTCGGCACAAACAAAAAATGTATTATTTTGAATATATTTATTCAATATATTCTGAAGTATTTTATTATGATAGGGACTATACGAGGATTATGCGACGGATTATATTGTTATATATCCATGAAGCGAGAAAGAAAATAAATGAATAATCTTCCGAGATTAAATTGACGGTAATTAAAAAAAGACAATCCATTTCAAAGTGCTAATCGTTAAAAAAACAAGAAGACGTGGTGCATCCTTTAGAGTCATATGGGGTGGTGACAATGAGGAGTTAATTACGAGCAGGATTAAAGCTCCAGATAATAAGCACCGCCTTCAGATTTACCTGGTCTGTGTACCCCCGTCAAGTGAACTTAGGTCCATCATTGGGTGCTTGATATTTTTAATAGAAATACATATGTCAACAACTAATACAGATTTCGTTTTAAATTGTTTTAATCATATTTTAAATTTATAAATGCATGTATAGGGATTAGTTTAATGAAATATTAAAAAAAAAATTGAAAACCAGTTAGTCTTTTTAAAGACCCTCAGAAAATTTTTAAGTGAAAATAGATGTTAGATTATATGCAATTTTTAACATATCCTAACCAAAAAAAGAACTCTTAACATCATGAAATGAATAAAGTTGCATTGTAATAAGCAACAAAATGAATAAATAAATAGGCCTCCTACCTCCCACTCAATATATATAGATACTAGCTGACATCTATGCTGTCGTTCGTTCAAAAATTCTGAAATTATCTGCTCCTATTTATCGTTTACATATCGTCATTATACATACATACATTTATATTACCATAGTGAATACAGATACTAATTCTGAAAATAAAAAAAATCCTTGGGCCGAGGTGTCTTCAGTATGGGCCGAGGTGTCAATAATTTTGGGCCGACCTGTCAGGGCCGTGGTGTCAAACGTGACGGGCTGAGGTGTCGTTGGGCCGAGGTGTCTGTCTACCGTTTCAATATGGCGGGTTCGTGTCAAGGGGAATAACTCGCACCAAATTTTAGGTCAGATTTCAGATGTGACAACTTTTACCGTAAATATCTCGGAAATACATTCAAATATAACCGAATAACTAATATACTTTAAATTCTATGATTTACTCGAAGATAATAAGGGGTAAATTGAATGAAAGTGAAAAATCTTTTCAGTTGACCTTTAATTCATAATTATTTTCAACATTCTTTGTAGTTTGTGAAAAGTGCTACGAACCTATATAGATTCTACTATATACGAGGGGTTATCAAAAAGTTCGTGGACTGACGCGATAAAATTAATATGTAGTCTTTGCTTACAAAATTTAAGCGGGACATAAAACAACAAAAGTTTAAGAAATGTTGAAAATTTTAGCTTGATACGTTGATGATTGGCCAAATTATTCTAAAATTAAAAAGACTTTATGTGATCACCCGGCGCTGTCGCCGTTAAGTGTCATGACGTCCGCTTAACGTCATTGTTTTTTAATGTCCGCTCTCTCTTCCTCATACACTGATCTTGATGAGATTACCTGGAGTTAAGTAAGGACTTAAACCCGTCTTATTTATATGAATTTACAATGTCACGAGCAGCTGTTTTCAATGCATATAATATTGTAAATGGATCTTTATATGGGGAATTAAGATCCTTACTTGATTATGCCAGAATACTTAGCTTGTAGGAGTTCAATTTCTTCCACACATGAGCAACGTCACTTTTCGACGTGACTGACTTTTGACACCCTGACTACAAATCGACACTAACTGTGCATATTTCATCTCTCTGAATCTTTTTGGGCATTAAAAAACAAGTACTCTGGATGCATTTTATTTTTCTGTAGCCAGTTTAAACATTCCCTAGGTCAATACCAGTTTTTCCAGGAGCGAAACTCTATAGAGTGTTTGAAAAAGAAACCCCTCCCCCTTTTTGACGTTATTTTCAAGCCCATAATTGTTTGGACACTCCATATAAAATTTACGATAAAATTTCATAGAAATTACAGAATGGGGTAAAAATTGCAAATTTTACTGAACAAATGTGTCGTACTACATGCCTGAATTAACGAGGTTTTTTGATGACAAATACTCATATCTAAAGAGTTTTTCTCAGTTACACTCATGTAGAAAAAAACGTCATATTAGAGGTTGCGCCGCCTGGACATACTTTTGCTTACAAAAACACTAACAATTTATTAAAAAATAAAAATTATGATTTATGGTTTAGTCTATAGATAGAAAAGATGATGCTAACTAAATGTGTAAAAATTCATTGATGTACCTAAAGCGGTTTTAATTTTATGACGCTAGTCCACGAACTTTTTGATAACCCCTCGTAATTGCTAAAATTACATTTGTTAGATTGTATGTTGAATATTTTGCTGGTCAAGTACATTAAATATAGATATAATTAATTCATTTACAAGATTTCATCAGGTTCGCAGCACTTTTCAAATATCTTCATACCTCTCGAGTTTATGTGTAAAAGCTTGTCATAATTTATTGAGGGTATGTCCTTGCAATATATAGATTTATTACGACCCTTCTATTACCCTTCAATGTATCTGCATACAAATATTCGGCAGTATCGCTTGATTAGGAAATGTACGGGAAGTATATAAATAAAATCATAAAATAAACATCGCATCCAAGTTAATTGCATTTTATATATCTGCAAATATATTTTATTTTATTACAAAATACATTTTTCATTGTATAAAATATAACTTGGTCTGCCTCTCACTGCATACAAACTGCGTCAAATTTTACGATATGACGTCACATTGACAAGTGCATTGCGATCAATGAATTGTTTATATGTTGCTGTGTAGGATTTAACCAACGACAAAAATAACGTTTAAAATAGCAAATCATTTCATTTTGTGGTAATTTGAAGACCATCTAATTTTGTGTGATGTTATAGTAAGTATTTCCCGTAAAAATTAGACCCCGCCTCTTTATTGCAGCCTTAACTGTGCTGCGTAGGCTTTGGCACTGGCAGTTGAATCTAAAGCTGTGGCATCTTCAGATGCTGAAGAAACCTTTGAAAGACCTTTGGTAAACTGTGAATTATCTATACCACCGGAAATAAATTATGAATCGGAGGTTTTAACACTTCTGGAGGTCCTAAAAGAAGATGTTGAGGGTTTTGATGACATGCTCCTGAAGGCATTACAGCAACAGAACCAGACAGAAGAGCACTGTGAAACAAATGCCACAATGGCACAACCAGAACCCATTCAAAATCCTGTTTTATGTAAAGAGACCCCAAAATAAGAAAAATCTAGCTTCAAATGCCTTTCAGAGAAAGATTTACAAGAAATAGAGAGAAACCAGTACTCAGATGCCACCAAAAGGAACACAAAATGGGGAATTGGTGTCTTTAATGGTAATACTTACTTTGATACTTCTTTAAAATCACTGTAATGTTCATTCAGCAGCAATATCACATATCTACCCATAGCAATGGTCAGTTTTGACATTTTGAATAAAATCAAAACATGATCATGCCAAAAATAGGTATAGAATGAATCATTAACATGTAAAGTTATTTTGAAAATTAAACAAAATTCATAAAAACAGGATAAAATTGTTAATTTAAAATATGTGAAAATATAAAATAAATATCAAAATGTAGTTCTAATATTTTTATACAAACATGCATGAATGACAAAATATTAAAAATACTTAAATCGTGTATTGTACTTGTAAATTAAAGTATCAGTGTATAAAAATAATCTAAAAATTATAATTTTCCAGCTTGGTGTCTGGAGCGACTAAATGAAACACATGTCCTTGAGGTTGTTGATGCAAGCATCCTTAATGAAAGCTTAAGGAAATTTTACGCAGAGGCCCAGCCAAAAAATCTCATAAATTGATCAAAAACAATTAGTGAGGAACAGGCACAAGAATTTCACAAAAATTCAATAAAAAAATGTGCGAGCTGCAATAAATAGACACTTAAAAGATATAGGAAGAGAAATTGACGTAGTAAGAGACAAGGAGTTCAAAACTGCTAATGCGATGCTTAGTTCAAAACTCAAATTTAACTTGCGTCAAGGCCTGTCAAGATCAACCAAGCATCATCCCATTATACCAAATGAAGATCTTGTAAAAATCAACCAGTATATAATTTCTAATGATAACCCTGTCGCCCTCAGATTTCGCATCTGGTATTTACTGGCAATGCATTTTGTAAGCAGGGGCTGCGGGTTTCATCACCAGCTAACTATGGAATCCCTGAAGTTTGCGAAAGATGAAAATGGGTTTGAGTATGTAACCATAAACCATGAAACGCTACAGAAATACTACCAGGGTGGGCTAGATGACAAGTGCGAGGAGGCCCAGGACAAGAGAATGTACGCTTCAGGAACATCAACATGTCCAGTAGAATCTCTCAGAAAGTTCATAAAAAAAACTGACCCAGCAGCTGTGTCACTCTTTAATGAATGTGCACGAGATGCTTTACGTGGAGAATCACCTGAATCCTTTTCAGTGTGATATACAGTCACCCGAGTTAAGCCCAAGAAATTCACCACATTCATGCCAGATATCTGCAAGAACTCTGGGACCACCAGGTTCACTGCACATTCTCTCCGTTCAACTTCGATCACAGCAATGAGCGATGCTGCTCTAACCGACAGGCATATAATGTTTATGTCTGATCACAAGAGGAAGGAATCACTGAAGTCCTACTGCCATCGACCGAGCACAGAACAGAAACATGACATCAGCTCTGTTCTTAGTAATGTTGCAAGCGGAGAAAAAAACCAAACATGCTTACCTCCAAGTATGATATCGTCCACTCAAACACAGTCAATCAATAATCAAAGCCTGCAAATAAGCAGGAAATCCATTAACTTGTCAGGAT